GACGATAAAAGTAGAATCCGACCCTCCCTTAACGCGTGTCGCACACGCTCGGGCAAGGTGTAGACGAGCGAAGACGATCGCCGCGAAGTCCGGATTCTCAGCGGATACCGTCCGCGCGCGCGGAGAGTGCGATTCTCCGCGTTCGTTTCGACGGACGCGGATTCCGTTCTCTCCGTCGCGGACGAGCCTCCGTTCACGACGACGAGAGGAGGTTAGGGTGTTTGCGGACGCGCACCGCGTCCCCAGGATGCGCCCGTCCAGAGCCAGCGCGGCTAGATCGGGTGACGTGGTCCGGACTTCGACCGCGTCACGCGATGACGGGACACGTGGTGCGGTCGTGAAACCGCGCGAAAATATTGTTTCGGAAAAACGTGGGGGAGAATAAATATTTGCTGCAAACGCGAGAATTTAAATGAGAAGAACGGGAAGGAAAAGACCGCCACAAAGAATTTGAAAAGATCTCTCGTTGATTCTCGGATTCTCTCTCTGTCGCGAATTCCGTCGTGTCAATCTCGAATTGAATTTCATTACTGATGGTTTTGTCCAGCATGAACGAGTTCATTTTCTGTTCATTTTTTTAATTAATTCCGAATGACGTAAACGGAAAAGAATTCCAAATTAATCGAGGCAAGACCGGTGTGACCTTTGGAAAAATCTTTCATTGACTCTCCGTCTGACGGCGGGCTGATATCGATCTCCGTTTAAATCTTTCAGAGTTTATCAGCGAACGACAATTGTTTTCTATTCAATTTTATTCATTTATTCCGCAGTCTAATCGATTTTTTATTTTAAATCGACTTCGAAAATTTATTCGAGTAGAAGAAAAAGTGATGACATTAAAGTGACGTCAGAATTCCTTGATAGCCGTTTCGGCGATAATTTTTATGTCATCATGACTTTTGCTTAGATAATTAATTAAGATACAACATTATCTCTTTTACATTTCGTATGGAGAACTTAGTCGCATCATCTTTAATTCATCAAATTTTGTGAAGATTGCGGAGATTATTATCGCAATCATTTGAGAGACAAGAAACAGTAAGTTGTAATCACGAGACATTTGCAATTTATTTCTTTTTAATCGAAAATCCAATGCAGATTATTTTAGAAAGAAATCTGTAGTGATTGATTTAAGAGAAGAATTGTAATAAATCATTGCGAGAATAATTAAATAAATCATATCGACATCTCATTCGTGCTAAAAAATATTTGATTTTTTAAGAGAAAACTAAATAAAAGTATTGAAAAAAATTTATGTCTTTTAATCAATTTGGAACATTCATATTTTATAATAGTCATCTGAGTGAATAAGAAATTATAATCTATATTTCGCGAATTATATTTCCGATTCTTCTTATTTTGCCGGAAAATCACGTTTCAGGTTTATAATTTGACGTGAAATAATCGTTCTATGTTTTGTATTTTTAATTATTTTTTAAACTGTAGATTAAAAATACAAAACAATTATATTAAATCCTGCGATATGCAATCGAAAAATAACCATCTCATTGAGTCGAACTGGGATATTTTACAATTCCTTGTACTTTTAAATTTATATTTTCCGCGTTAATAATCATTTCTATCTCCAAATTGCTTACACAACCTTTACGTTTATTTTCCCGATATATTTTCGCGACACTCTTTTTTCATCCGAATTTTGTCGAATTTTTTTATCTCATTTATTCGAAGCTTTTTTTTTCATCTCGACCCGCATCGTTCTGCTCGTCCACCCGGAAATTTATCTACGTTTGCACTTACCCGTTCCAACTGGCTCTTTAACTGGTACGCAATCGACAGACACCACAAGTTCTTGACAGCTTCTGTTGACAGCACGCGAATCCACGAAGGTGTAACGCGAATGAAACGAGTGCGGTCGGACGGTGCGTCGACAATCATAGAGCAAAGTGCTGTCCGCGGGCGAATAATCGCGTTCCAGATTCGCGACCTGCGAAATAAAAATTCGCGCAAAGTGAGTTACGTAAACGTAATAGCCCGACAACGGGTCACCTAATATTTCTTTGAACGCCCCGCAAGCCCATATTAAAATCCGTGTGAAAGGGAAATGCCCTATATTAATTTTACGCTTCGGTAGCTAACGGCTAAAAGAGAGAGAGAGAAAAAAAAAGGTACGAGACCCGGGAAATGGGCGAGTCTCGATAACCCGGTGAAAATATATTAAAACTGAATTTATACGTCACGTGCGAAATGCTTCGGCATTATTCGAATGTTTGATTCATACGAAGAATATAAATCTAGCTTGTGCTCTAAACTTTGAATTAGTTTTTCTCGTCTCTAAGTCACATAAATGTAATATTTGTTTTGATCTCATTCTTTTTATCGGTTTTATCACATTTTTTTTAAGTTCTTACAACTTGAATTTTCAGTAGTTTCCTCTACCTTTGCCATTGAGTATCGTGAGGAGGCATCTTTTCTTTTATAATTGCGGACGTTAGAATGATGATCCATAAAAAAAATTTTAATAACTTCAGGGTAACACCGGTCTATCATAATGCAATTAGCGCCTGCACAAAGTGCTTTTACATTTTAATATGATTAGTGGGGTCGTTTGAGCGAACGATAAAACGCGAACACTTCTTCGGTCCTCGTCCGAGCTATTGTTCTATCTTTCAATTTCTCCCCGTGACATAATCTTTCGTTCTCACTACTTCGTGTAGTCACCGACAGTGAGTGTAATTCACTTTTCCTCGCGAAAAGTAGCACAAGATAGAAATCAAGCGTGAGATACAAAGAATAGATGAATAGCGGCGAAGTAATGAGAGAGGTATCGGATATATTTTTTGTTTATGTTTTTGTTATTGAAAATGTCGGTTTATATAATGACATATATATATATATATAAACATATAATCTGACAAATCTTTTATTTCCAAACGAGATCGTATATCGCGTCAAGAAAATTAAATACGGAAAAAAGAAATTTCGGTTAATTTATACAAATTATATGAAACGAGAGAGAGAGAGAGAGAGAGAGAGAGAGAGAGAGAGAGAGAGAGAGAGAGAGAGAGAGAGAG